GATTTAAATTTCAAGACAAAATATTTAGTTTTATTTACATATAGAAACAGTAACTGTGGATGTGCTGGTGATAAAAAGCAAGACGACTCAGGCAGTAGATATATTTTGTGTACTGAATGTACACTGGTATCTGGAAATGGAGCTCTCCAGAAAGAGACTGGAGACAGAACCTCTTTTTAGAAAACTCGACACTGGAGAAATAGGGAGAGCATATAAGTTAAAAAGGCTTTTAGGAGTGCAGTATGAGAGGGCATAAATTCAGAAGCATTGTGGTCCAAGTCAACCAAAGCATACCTGACAACATCTTGCTTCTATGGGAGGAGAGGCTGCACCATTATCAGCTTGTCATTGAATTACCTGGGCTAGTACTGTGGCTGGAGGCCAGCAATTCTTGTACCTGTGTAAACTGCTGTTGACTCTTGCTGCTCAAGACAACAATACAACTTGTGCAATGAAACCAAATGTTTTCAGCAGAATTTCTGTACAGGAGGTTGACAGCAACTTGCTTGTTTTCACAGATGCTTCTTGGGCAAGAAGGGGCAGCATATTGGAATCAGAAGTTGCCCTGCTTCCCTGGCAGCTGTGAAGGACAATGGGCGATTGGCAGCTGGGGCACACAGGGCCAGCAGAACAGCTGCTGATGTCAGGTTAAGAGCTGGTTGCACTCGCTAAATCCAGTGGAGGAATGTGGATGAGAACATGAGGAAAGGTCAAGAAGGGGCCAACAAAGGCCTTAGTTCACAGCAGTTTTCCTTGCCAAGCTATACAAGGAGAGGTAAATGGGGGTAGGAGAGAGAGTGCAAAGAGCTTCTGGTGCCTGGGCAGCAGGGCACAGATCCCCTTTGTGCTCCCCAGGCAGGGCTGGTTTTACCATGAGGCGAACTGAGGTGGCTGCCTCAGATACCAGACTTGGGGGGGGGGAGGGCGCCACTAGGACCTAGAGTGTAGAAAATTGTGTCTGCTGCTGGTGCATGTGTATTCTCTCTGCTCTAGATGCACAGAGATGGTGGAGTGCTGTGCTGGAGGAAGGAGGGCACAAGAGACATAACAGGCAGGCAGGAGAAAAGGTGAGAGGGAATAACAGAAAGCAGCAGGAGCTGCAGGGAGAAAGAGGAAGAGTAGCCTCTTATGTACCTCTCTAGCACCCCCAGGAGCCTGGACTGATTAACACCAGCTTCTCAGGGAGCTTCCTCTTTCCAGCTGCTTCCCTGAACCCACTGGAGGAGAAGAGCAGTCAACTGAAGTAGCAGGAGCCAGTTAGGCCCTTAAGACGCTGATATCTTCCCTCACTCAGGCCCTGCTACCAGCCTGCTTATTTGTCCCCTTCAATTGAGTGTTGAGAGCTACTAAAGCTGGCATAGAACAGCAGTCACGAGTGAAAGAAGAAAACGCCCTTCTTGGGCAGCATTCAGAAGAAGAAAGAAAGCAAAGGAAGCTTTTCTATCTAAGCAGGAAGGAGCTCTCCTGAGATACACAGACACAAATGTTCACGGTGAGCCTTCCGGCCCCAGTGTGGATGTGTGTGGTGAGGAGATGCCTGATCTTCCAGTTCGTCAGAGTGCAGGTGACCTGGCAGTTACTGCAGCATCCATATCTCCATCTCAAAAGGGGTGTAACCATGCACATTCCTGAAGAAAAGTGTAGATCAGAGAAGAGTGTGATGGAGGCGCAAGAAACAGCTGTTGCTGAGTTTAGTTCCTTAAGTGTAGATGATCCAGGACTTTGGACCCACTTGAGCAGTAGCCTGAGGGACTTCCTTGTACTGCATGGGCCACAGCAAGTGAAAAACTTCATGTTCCCCAAAGACAATGAAAACAGAAGTTTCCATCCAACACATTACTGGCGTGAAATCCCCAATGGTGACAAAGTGGAGAGGTCATGGCTTATGTACTCAAAAACCCAGAATGCCGCATACTGTTTTTTTGCGAACTCTTCCAGTCTATTGTTCCAGCCACATTGGGTTCTACAGGAACAAAGGACTGGAAAAATCTGGCTAGAAATTTGGCATGCCATGAGAAGGCAGGAAATCGTCAGAGAGCATTCCATAGGTGGAAAGAGCTTGAGATGAGACTAAGGTTAAAGGCCACCATAGATGATCAGCATCAAGAGAAGATTACATCAGAGTCTCTTTACTGGCAAAATGTTCTGAAAAGGCTCATTGCCATTGTGAGAATGCTTGCTACCCAAAACCCATCACTGCGTGGCACTTCAGATCAGCTGTACGTGCCAAACAGTGGAAACTTCCTTAAGATTGTGGAGCTGATGGCTGAGTTTGATGTTGTACTCCAGGAGCATCTCAGAAGAGTCACCACCCAAGAAATGTACACACACCACTACCTTGGAAAAACAATTCAAAATCAGATCATACAGTTACTGGCAACAAAAGTCAAACAGAAGATTGTGGCAGATCTGAAGTCAGCAAGATATTACTTTGTTATTCTGGACTGCCCACCTGACATCAGCCATGTGGAACAAATGACTTTAATGGTGCGTTTTGTAAAGACAACAGAACCTAGTGAAAATGTCCCTGCAATGGTGACTGTCAGAGAGCATTTTCTAGAATTTATTGACATTGATGACACTACAGGAGCTGGTATGACAAATGTGCTTCTTAAAAAGCTGGAAGATACGCGAATTGCGATAGCTGACATGAGAGGTCAGGGCTACGATAATGGTGCCAATGTGAGAGGAAAGAACAGGAGTGCAGACACGGATCTGAGAGTTAAACCCTCAAGCTTTTTTTGTCCCATGCAGTTCTCATTCATTGCAGTGCTCAGCTTCTACTGAGGCTGCTGAATTTTTTAATATAATTCAAAGCATCTATGTATTTTTCTCTGCATCAACTCATCGATGGCAAATTTTGAAGCAACATCTGAGAACATCCTCTCTGATGCTGAAACCACCGAGTGCCACACGATGGGAAAGGTGAGTGGAGGCGATAAAGCCTATCAAACACCAAACTGGGAAGTTAGATGATGCCATAGGTGCCATTATAGAGGATAATGTTATGACAGGAACCCTTTGTGGGAGAACAGTGGCAGAGGGAAATGGAATCACCAGAAACATACATAACTTCAAATTTCTGTGTGGCTTAGTGTTGTGGCATGACATACTGTTTGAAATAAATGTTGTAAGCAAGAGACTCCAAGGTGTTGACCTTGATATATCTGGAGCAATGGAACAACCAGACAAAATAAAATCATACCTACAGTCTTACCGGTCAGATGAGGGATTTCAAAATGTCCTGAAGAGTGCACAAAAGTTGGCAGAGGAACTTCACACTGAAGTTATTTTCTCACCCATTCAAGAATACAAGAGTCACTGAAGAAGAAGACATTTTGATTACGATGCATGGGATAATCCCGTAAGGGATCCCCAAACAACAATTCAAAGTTGAATTCTTTAACCAGGTGCTAGATTGTGCAATACAGTCAGTTGAAGAACTTTTCATGCAGCTCAAGGAACACAGCAGTATATTTGGGATGTATGATATTCCAAAACTCCTCACTATACCTGAAGAAGACCTACATCACCAATGCAGGGCACTAGAGACAGTGTTGACACATGATGACATGTGCGATATTTATGCAAGTGATTTAGGTGATGAATTGAAAGCCCTTTCAAGATACATTTCAGCAGGATCAACTCCAAAGGGTGTTCTGGAATATATGTGCACAAATAAGATGACCACCCTCTTTCCAAATGCTTTTGTTGTTCTGCGCATACTTCTAACGCTTCTTGTAACAGTTGCCAGTGGACAAAACAGCTTCTCCAACCTGAAGTTAATAAAAACACATCTACGCTCCACAATCTCTCCACAATGACACAGGAGAAGCTGGTCAGCCATGCAGCCATCTCAATACATCATGAGCTGACCCAGACTGTGGACCTTCAGGAGCAGGTCAAATCTTTGCAACCAAGAAGGCATGGAAAGCACCACTTTACTGATTTAAACAGATAAAAATGCCAGACAAGAAAAGTTACATTTGCTGTTAAGGCATTTGAAAGTTGTGTTACTTAAAATTTTTGACAGGTTTCAGAGTGACAGCCGTGTTAGTCTGTATTCGCAAAAAAAAAAAAAGAGTACTTGTGGCACCTTAGAGACTAACCAATTTATTTGAGCATGAGCTTTCGTGAGCTACAGCTCACGAAAGCTCATGCTCAAATAAATTGGTTAGTCTCTAAGGTGCCACAAGTACTCCTTTTTTTTTTTAAATTTTTGAACAAGGCATTTTAAGCTGTTAATTCTCCCTTATTGGGGTAGGTAGCAGAGCAGTACCATGAGAGGAGTAGAACAGGAAGAAGGCAGAATTGAGACCTTTCAAAGTTTTGGCCCAAGCGAGGGGGTATGGGGGCGTCATTTGAGCTCCCCGCCTCAGGTGCCAAAACGTTGTGGGCTGGCCCTGTCCCCAGGCAGCGCTCAGCCTCTGCCTGCGTCCCAAGCCTCCCCCTGCTCCCTGTCTGAGCGCTGGGCTTTACTGCAGTAACACGCTGCTCCCCGCCAGTGGCCCCCGGAGGCCCGTCACCAGCCAGGCGTTGCCTCAATTTCCTTAGGGTTTAAGTGTCCCAATCTCCAGGGCTGCGGGTAGACGCTGCTGTGACGTCTGCTCTTTCAAGCGAGGAGCCAGGGCTGCCCGAGGCTTACTGCACCCGCTCCGAGGCCACAGGGCGCACGGCTCAGCCTGGGGTCCCCTCGGCTTCCGCCCAGCCCCGCTAGCCACCTCCCGGGGCAGCTGCCCTCGGAACAGCGGGGGTTAAACTTCACCCAGAGCCGATTCCTCCGCCAGCAGCCCGGCACCGAGCGGGTTAATCCCCGCTCAGCGCTTTGGCTGCGGCTGGGTCTCTGCGCTCAGGCTCCTCCCCCTTGTCCTGGCCTGAACCATCCAGCAACAGCGATACCTGCTCCGCGCCACCTTGTCCTTCTCTGATGTCATCGCCGTGCGCCGGCAGAGAGGTGGGGGCTGTTGCCTGGTTACGGCTGTCATCCCCATGCGCCGCCGTCCTCTTCCCCCCCCCTCCTCCAGCACCAATCGCTCTGGGTAAGACACAGAAAACAAGCGGATCCGAGGCGCGAGCTGCAGCCCGGACCGGCCTCCCCAGCGCCCCCTCCCGCCACAGCCGTGGGGCTCCGGCCGAAGCGGTAACGGGCACCCACGCGTGGCGGCTGCCGCCGGCCTCTGCCTGCGGAGCGCCCCGCGCAGAGACTCACACATGCCTGAGACCAGAGTGGGAGCGGCGCTGAGCCCGGCCGCCTGGGTTCCCCGCGCTGCCTGGCTGGGGCCCTAGCAGCGCCCCGGCCGCTGGAGCCGGTCCGGCGGCTCCCGGTGCCCGAGTGTATGAGAGGAAGCGCGGAAAGGGGGCCGCGGCCCGAGCCACTCGCCTCCTCTCCCGGACGGCGGCAGCAGAGAGACCGGCCCGGGGGGAAGCGAGGGGGCAGCGAGGAGGCGGCGGCTCCATGTGAAGAGACCCGGACACGCACGTGAACCGCCGAGCAGCCCCCCGGAGCCGGGAGGTAGCGAGAGGGATTCGGGAACGCGGCAGCCGAGGGGGCTGGACCCGTCTCTCACTAAAGTTTCCCGGACACGCGGTGTCTCTCGGGACCTGGCGTCCAACTTGCTGTGAAGCCTTAGAGCCCCCGCAGGGAAGTGGATCCCCCTGTTCCGGGCGCAAGCGTGAGCTTTAGCCGCACCCTGTATCACCGGTAGCGTGTCTGCTACAGCCAGAGAGCCAAAGGAGGGAAACTTAACCCGCCGCAGCTGCTGTTGCTCCTAAGGTGAGTGAGGGTTGAGGGGGTCGGAGGGGGGGTCCAGTTCTGCTGGTCTCTGCTCCGCGCCGCTGATGACTTTTCAGGTGAAACACGCGGATGCAAAGATTTGTACCCCCCATGAGCATGGGCTGGGGACTAAGTGGGAGCATGTGGCTCCGTCCCTTCTGGCGGGGCGGGGGCGCACCATCATCGTAGCAGCCCCGCGCGAGGTATCCCCTGTTTCACATGCGCCTCACGTTGCCGGGAACTTTGCACGGTCTGCTGAGCTAAGTGACCCTCCCGAGAGTGCGGCTCTTCTTGCCTCTGCGAGAGAGAGACACTGTAGGGAAATCCTTATGTTAAGTCAATTCCTATCCGGATACTTTTCACCTTCAGATTTAAGCAGCCTCGGCTTTGTAAAGAGTTACTACAGTGAGAGGGGTTGATAGCGTCCAATCAAAAAACGAGTCTGGAAATTAGTTCCCATTTGAAACTTGTACGTCTCGCTTTGTACTTGCTGCAGCAAGGAACAGCAGAGAATGATACTGAAGTCTTGAACAAAGACCAAGTTTTTTTTAAGCTACTTTGAACCTCCTTCCATTCACTATTGTTCTATGTTAAATCTTAAGAGCTTAACAGAACTTTACTTGTGCTTTATCAGAATGTCTTGTACACCAGAACTGAAAAATACAAGCATCTTTAAAAGCCACAATATTTTAGTGGAGGGATTTTCTAACTCTTTTAGGGTGGGATTCATCTTAATAGAGAGATTGTGGATTCTTTTCTATGCACAGTTGCATAACATCCCTCTGGAAACTGTTGTAATTGCTTGCATGGAAAAGTAATATTAGGAAAGTACTTAATGCATTTTAGCTGGGTTTTAACACAGTTTAGCAGCTGGAAATAAGAAGGAAGAGCCAGCACCATGTGTCTAGTCATCTCTCCTCACAGTACGGTCAGGTGCTCCATGGGTCTCAGTTTGGGAATCCTATGCTGGGTATTGAGTCTTAGTATACAGAGTGTTTTTATATTGCTACATACAAGTTACTGAAAAGGATCTGGTGGCTTGAGAAGCATATCTTCAACCTCATTAGCCAGCAGTTAAAGTTGCTGCTAAATTAAATAAATAACATTTTATCCCACCATACAGGCTTTGAAAAATGCAAATCACTTTACATTCTGCCTTATGGAGAACTGCATGCTGTACATATGAGTTTCAGAGTAATAGCCATGTTAGTCAGTATTCGCAAAAAGAAAAGGAGTACTTGTGGCACCTTAGAGACTAACTAATTTATTTGAGCATAAGCTTTTGTGAGCTACAGCTCACTTCATCGGATGCATACTGTGGAAACTGCAGAAGACATTATATACACAGAGACCATGAAACAGTACCTCCTCCCACCCCACTCTCCTGCTGGTAATAGCTTATCTAAAGTGATCGCTCTCCTTACAATGTGTATGATAATCAAGTTGGGCCATTTCCAGCACAAATCCAGGGGGCGGAGGGTGAGAAAACCTGGATTTGTGCTGGAAATGGCCCAACTTGATTATCATACACATTGTAAGGAGAGCGATCACTTTAGATAAGCTATTACCAGCAGGAGAGTGGGGTGGGAGGAGGTACTGTTTCATGGTCTCTGTGTATATAATGTCTTCTGCAGTTTTCACAGTATGCATCCGATGAAGTGAGCTGTAGCTCACAAAAGCTTATGCTCAAATAAATTGGTTAGTCTCTAAGGTGCCACAAGTACTCTTTTTCTTCATATGAGTTTGGTTTGTCTAAATTGGGCTTACACATAGACTGTATGCAAACCAAGAACATTTGTAACTACCGTTTGAATGGTATTTCAGATCTAGTTTCAGAATTAATAACATTGGAATAACACTGGTGCCTGCATCTGTTTATAGGGTATTTTTCCTAGCTGTCTTTCTGAAAGAGAAAAAGGAAAACCTTTAAGTTTATCTGACACTTCTAACTGAATGGAGAATAAACTGCGTGACCAACTTTATCTAGATTTATTTTTAGAGTGTTGTTGACTTCCCTCCTATGTTTTCCTCCAATCAGCTTTTACTTTCTCCTCTTTCAATCCTACATTGCAGCGGCTGACCTTCCATCAGAGAGGAATGTATAGGATTCCCTCTGGATCTATTATATAGTGCCTTTATATTAACACTCCAAAAATTGTCATGCTTTTTGTCAAAAAACTTTATATTTCTAATATCACTGTGAGCTAGGATTACTTCAACCGAAAGATTAGAGAGAGAAATACCTTGATCTGTTTTTTTCAGTTTGTTTGCTCTAAGCATTTGACAGCACTACATGTATACCTACTGTACTTGTATAGTCAGTTTCTCCACTTGTTTAAAGATCTTTCACCAGGAAGAGAGAGACACTTTCAAAAGGTTTCAGAGTAGCAGCCGTATTAGTCTGTATCCGCAAAAAGAAAAGGAGTACTTGTGGCACCTTAGAGACTAGTCTCTCTAAGGTGCCACAAGTACTCCCTTCCTTTTTACTCTTTAAAAAGTGATTGTAAAACCTAAAAAATTGCTGGGGTACTTGAAAAATACTAGAAATTTCTTAACTCCTTTTTTTTTTTTTTGAGACAAAGTCACCTTGAGGTGTGCAATACTTTCTTAAACAACAGGAGCATGGGTACAACACTCACTGCATTAAGGACACGCAAGAATTGAGTGATGCCTCAACAACACTCCCAGCTTCTGCTGACTTACAGGGCCAAGGTACCAGAAGTTGAATGAGTTTCCTTCAGTGTAGAGGATTAATAGGATAGTCCAGGGATCAGCAACCTGCGCATGCATGCCAAAGGCGGCACGTGAGCCAATTTTTACTGGCACGCTGTTGCCAGCCGGAGTCCTGGTCACTGGCCCCACTCAGCCCGCTGCCTGCATGGGTGAACAGAACCACAGGCCAGCAGCGGGCTGAGCGGGGCCGGCGGCCAGGACTCTGCCGGCAGGAGCCGGCGGACGGAACTCCAGACTGCTGCCGGTCTGGAGTTCCGGCTGCCGGCCCCTTGCCAGCCGGGGTCCCGACCCTGCTCAGCCGGCTGCAGGCCTGGGTGAACGGAACCCCTGGCCGGCAGCAGGCTGAGCGTGGCCGGCGACCGGGACCCCGGCTGACAGGAGCCGGCAGAACCCCAGACTGGCAGCGGGTGAGCCACTGCTGGTCTGGGGTTCTGTCTGCCACCATGCTCAGTCCGCTGACGGTCTGGGGTTCCGGCCGCCAGCCCCTTGCCAGCCGCGGTGCCGGCCATCGGCCCAGCTCAGCCTGCTGTCGGCCTGGGATACCAGCTGCCGGCCCCACTCACCTCGCTGCTGGTCTGTGGTTCCAGCCGCCTGGTCCCCTGCCAGCCGGGGTCTTGGCCGCCGGCCCACTCAGCCTGCTGCCAGTCTGGGGTTCCGTGGCGGGCCCCTGTAAATGTAAAATTTATTACTGGCATGTGAAACCTTAAATTAATGAAGACTTCTCAAAGGTTGCCGACCCCTGGGATAGTCAGTGCCTTTTCATAATTAATTTATACATGTGCTTAAAGCAACATGTTATTGTCAGATTGAACTAAACCATTTCAACTTCCTTTGACATAAAGCTGTGTCAATATCCTGAATCCAAATTAAATTTAATTTCCTTTCTTTCATTATTGTCACGCTCTTTATAGCACCTTTTTGCAATGGTCAGATTGTTAGCTGTATTTTTTTTTAAATTGCATATTCTTCTGCGTGGTCCATGCTCATAAACATCTTGATTATTCTGTGAAATCATTATTAATAAAATGAATTTATTTATTTAACAAAACTGAAAATTACTTGGATTTTTAGCTTCTTGGGTTGTCTTAACTTTTTAATTCCTCCCTACTGTGCACCCACTGCTTTCTGATAGTCTTGGTACTGTGCTGGCTTTCTCTTTTTAAATTAAATTTGAAAGCTGTTAGAAAAAGGAGGGTGTGAGAGGTCACATGGTAGGTCTGTCAACTTCAACAATGTCTGCAATTTTTTTTTTGGTTGGCTTTTAAAAAAAAGAAAAAAGCTTATAACAACACATGAAACATCACCACTCAGGGTACTCCAATCCTGAATTTAATCTAATATTTGGGCACACTGGCTGTTACTCTTCAAAACATATCCACTAACTGAATTTATATATGTAGTACTTGCATATCTGAAATCAACATGAAGCCCTTGAAGATACCTGAACATCTATAACACTTTTGTGTGAGTGTATACACAACTTCATTTTAGACAAGGAGGAAACAGTTCAGTTGGTGGTGGTGGTGTCTAACAGATAGAGCAAACATTGCATTTTAATTTCATTTCCTGTAAATAAGCTAATTGTCCGATGGGATATTAGATGGGGTGGGATCTGAGTTACCCAGGAAAGAATTTTCTGTAGTATCTGGCTGGTGAATCTTGCCCGTATGCTCAGGGTTTAGCTGATTGCCATATTTGGGGTTGGGAAGGAATTTTCCTCCAGGGCAGATTGGAAGAGGCCCTGGAGGTTTTTCGCCTTCCTCTGTCGCATGGGGCACGAGTCACTTGCTGGAGGATTCTCTGCTCCTTGAAGTCTTTAAACCACGATTTGAGGACTTCAGTAGCTCAGACATAGGTGAGAGGTTTTTCACAGGAGTGGGTGGGTGAAATTCTGTGGCCTGCGTTGTGCAGGAGGTCAGACTAGATGATCATAATGGTCCCTTCTGACCTTAGTATCTATGAATCTACATGCTGGGAAGCATTGTTTTAATGAGTTTAGTAAATTCATGAAAGATGATGGAACCCCTGGATTGAAGTCTCCTGTTTATTCACAAAACAGATAAATTGTGAGCAGTGGCAGTGCGAACTTCTACTAACTGACTTTGCTTCACTTCTGACTTCTTAGGATTGAAGCCTCTACTTTTTCGGTTCTAGGTCTCTCTGTGACTACCACAAAGTGTGCCAATTATGATAGATATTTTTGAGATCAACCTGTGGAACTCTTTGCCAGAGGATGTTGTGAAGACCAAGACTATAGCAGGGTTCAA